TATACAACCCCCTCCCCCCAAAAAAGGAACGAAAACATTGAGAATGAGTCTTTTATACCTACAGACGCTGCGGGTCGCCTTCCATTGAGTCCGTCAGCAAGGACTGTTCATGTTTTTTTGCACCATAGTTTCTCCTTTCATGCATGAAGGGAGAGGGTGAAGCGAGGGAGTTGCGATCTGAGCTATACTGCTAAATGCCACTTAATCATACACACTGCTCCTTTACAGCTTTTAAAATAATTTGCAGCTTGCCAGCAATTAGACTTGAGAAAATGTCGCAAACCCTCGATGGACTAAAAGCCCTTTAGAATCAGTGCTAGTATGATGCCTGAAAGGATGTAATAATATGTATTATTGAGTCTGATGATCTCATGTTATTAAACTAATATTGCTCTGACTGCAGCTTTTGACATGGTTCATGACCCAGCGGTTGCTCTGGAGACACTGATATCATTAGGGTTCCAGCGTGTATTGACAAGTGGCTGTGATTCCACTGCTTTGGAGGGACTCCCTCTCATTAAACGGCTCATTGATCAAGTATGTATAAATTATACGTATTCACACAGGTTGGCATGCAAACATATGGAACCAGCATAGCTATTTATCTGTTATCTCCACCTGTTACTCAACAGGCTAAAGGGAGAATTTCCATCATGCCAGGTTAGTACTTTTGATTTCTTTTGCATGCAATTTACATGTGGGTTGTTTTTCTTGATAGTTTATTTATCTTTTTTTTTTTTAATACAGGAGGGGGTATTACAGAGAGGAACCTGCAGAGAATTTTAGAGGGGTCAGGGGCTCAGGAGTTTCACTGCTCAGCCCGCTCCGGTAAGGACTCTGCCATGAAGTTCAGGTATGTTAAAATGGGCAATTTTGCCCATGCTTCCATATGGTGCACAATTTCTTGCAACTATATACTATAACTAAATAACAACAATGATGTTTCCATGTTCAGGAACACCTGTGTGACGATGGGAGCTGCTTTCTCAGCACCTGAGTACGGCTTGAAGGTGGCAGATGTGAGCAAAGTCCGCACTCTTAATGCAATAGCCAGAAATACCTTGTGAATGGGTAGTGGACAATCATGACGACAACAAAACAGATACCTCAGTACTTCAGTTCACTGAAGCTGAAAATAATTATACATTTCAGAATAGCCATAGAGTTGTGTTTTTTGTTTTGTTAATAATCAAACAGTCCTTGTAAAGTTAAAGTTCAGGGACAGCCCCGCAACCTTATGGAATATGCAGTCTATCAAAGTATCACAAAGTGGAGGGTGATAAATAATCAACCATTATTTCTGTACTGTATGTGGCCTAAAATACTCAATAGATTGCTAAATTAAAAATTGTCTTCCAAATAACACCATAGGAAAAGAACTGATCAGTGCTGTTACTTATACATTATTCTTTCCAGTTGCCATATAGTTTACCTATATTCATTTACAGCACTCCCTCTTTACAGTGGAAGATAACGCAAAGCTGCGACCTCCTGTACTAGTTTTTACAAGAACATTGTAACTTGATTCAGTTTGTTCAGAATTAAAATTTAAAAAATCAGCATTTAAGTGTACTTTCTTCTACGCTTCATTTACACTTAATTTGAATTGGGATTGGAAAAGTCATGTTACGTTCTTCATGTTGATATGTAACCAGACTGAATTGATTCTCAAATAGTTGATTCAAGTCTATGAAATAGTGAAAATTGACCTTATAAGGAACCATCTGGTTGTGCAGAAGTGAGAGTCACAGAACATGTGATATCATTAAACAATGGGGCATATCAGCAGACTTGTTAATGGTGCCTGTAAACAGTTGTATGCCATGATTTAAATTATTATTCAAATTTATTATTTTACATCTCAAAGGGCAATTCACCTTGTTTGACTTGACAGAATAGTCAAATAGAAGAAATAGTCAAACCAAGGTGTTTTTGGTGCCTTCACTAAACCTTAACAGTAACATGTTAAGAATAAGACACACTATGAAGAGTATGTATGAAGTTCAAGAAGCAGGTTTACTGAGTCATCCGGATGAAAAACCCAGAACCCACATCAAAACTGGAACTTGGACTGATGATCTGTTTTACTGAGCAAAGTTATCCAGTTACTTCAATAAACCTATGTATGACATCATGGTGGTTCAATATCAATGATGAACTGTCATGTAAGCTGATGTAATGGATGTCTTGTTCACGTTGTGTTGACAACTGGTTTCATTAATAGGTTTTATTCTCTTCTAAGTGCACATAACAGTTGCCTAAATATTCACTTTAGAATAAATCTGCTTGACTTAACTTAAACCATGGTGTCTCATTAAGGTGTATTAACTACTGGTGTCTGGTCAGAGAGCAGAAAGAAGCAGATACAGTTGAGTTGCTTAAAATGGGGTGTCTGCAGGGTCTTAAAATGTATGAAATCTAATCTTAATTGTTTTAGGGATTTGAATTGCCTTTAATAAATAGTGACAGCAAGTATGACACCCAGCAGAAAGGACTCAGCCTTGGTACATGGGGTGCCAGCTCTACCAGGTGAGCTATCCAAGCACCCCTCATAATTAGATTTTTAGGTCTTAAAATGCCTTTAATATGGTGTTTACCTGGTCTTAAAAATCTATTGGGTTAATGACATTAATATTCATTAATTAATTGTAAGAAGTCTCAATTTTACATGTGTTTTTGGGAAGGTTTTATTGCATTTTTTAAACAACTACAAAATGAAACCGACATGGAACTTATACCGACTTATTCCTCCATCTCCTTCCTTCATACTGTTTTTGCCAGTATAGATGTGAAATATGTCTTAAATTGCATTCATAATGGTCTTAAAAGGTCTTAAGTTTAACCTGTTAAAACCTGCAGAAATAAAACAAGTTAAAACAACTATTATTCATTTAGGTCAGTGTTTATTTTCCACTAGCTGTTTAATCTCTTTTTGTGTGGCATTTTTCTTTAAGTGACCTTGGCCTCTTCTATACCTTAATAAAAATGTTCACTCAAATGTTAAATACATCTCTGGTTTTAAATTGCTCTCAGTTGTAGTCCTTTGTAGACAGCAAATATTTATTTTTTCTCTAGCTGTTGTGCAACAAGCAGTCAGACTGAGCTAATAGCTACTAATGGCTCATTATGATAGAGCACAAGGCTCACCTTTATGCATAGTTGTAAGTAGATATTTACAACACTCTTCACTTATGTATGGGTTGTGTCACATGGCTGTCCTTGGGACTATACACACACATGAGTCAACAAGTTTACGCCCATGTGGTGTTATCCAATATGTAATGATTAACCGTCACACAGTCAGAGTAATCTGTTTTATGAATATCACAGTTAGTGAAAGGCTTTTCACACACATTCTTAAATGTTGACAATGGTTGTATTTGCAGCAATATAAATTATTAATTAGTTTACTACACGACAAGTCTGCATGAGTCATGTATTAATTTTACTCTGTTGCAGTTTGAACAAGTTTTATGTTTGCCCAATGTTATTCATCAGCTTTGTTAAAAGTTAAAAGTTGAAATTGACACTTGAGACAGTATAAAGCTGAAACAACAACAAAAGTGTTCCTCTCTCAAACAAACTCATACACGCAAGCAGAAGTCCTCTTTGTTTCTCTGGTTTGTGTTGAACTATCGTCTGGTAGCAATTAGTAGTCCAACATCAACACGGCACATAAAGAAAACCCAGCACTTTGCATACTAGCACAAAAATGTGTTTAGTGGTCATGTAGTGTACCACCTGGTGGCTCCAGGTTAAAGTGATCTTATCCTTTGTTTGAATTACTAAAAAACACAGACCAAGGAAGCTCATGTTTTCTAAATCTCTCTTTGATTTGAATGTATTGTATACAGTGTGTATTTTGGGTGTAGTGTCCGGCCCCCTTCCTCAGAATAGGAAACAGAAAGAGAGAGGAAAAGCCAAGCAGTCACCACCCTTCTCTTCCCACAATTCCCTCCAGCCAACATTTATTTTTGACAAATACTCTGCAACTCTTTCAAATAACACTTCAGCAGCTTTAACAACCTCGTTTCAATGCCTGACTCCCTGAAACTAATCTGATGTGACTTGAGTTCCGAAAATGGGTCTCTGTCCAGAGAGAGTGAAGGCATGCAGAGGAGAAGTGGAAACACAACAGGAAAAGGGGGTCTAATTTGCTCACTCCCTCCCCTTCCCTTCCCTTCCCTTCCCTAAACACATTCCCTTTTTTGGTTGGCTGTCCCCCTAACACAAAGAAAAACAGCATAGGAATACTGCTCGTCCTTCTGCTTCTCTTTTTTTCTCTTACATACAGTCATCTGCCTGAAATGAACTTTAGACACACATGAGTGTCAGTGGGTTGGTGTAAGGCTGGATTTTCTCAATGACCTTGTCTACATTTGTTGTGTTTCCTCATTTAACCATCGGGAGGGCTGCCTGCGTGTGCTTCTTCTGACACCAAACAAGTCAAGACGACTGCTAGAGGACAACCCATAAGATCTTCTGCCTAATACAAAAACGATCAGGACTCAGCTTAAGCATTAACCCCTCTGCTCTTCTCATCGATCCAGTATATCTCTGACATATTGTCTTTTCTCTGCACAAGGGGGTTGCAAGGTTGGGTTTCTGCTTGAGAGCCTTATGGCTCAAAGTCCCTCAGAGTCACGTCCTGCAATTGTCTCTGGAGTGTGGGTGGACAGGACAGATAGAAGGAGCATTCAAGTCAGCCTTGACAGCAGTGAAGCAGAGGGTGAGAGGGCGCCTGGTTGTCTAGTCATCTAAAGGCGACTGAAGCCATCAGTGTGGACCATGAGTGTCGCAGCTCTGGATGAGTACTGTGGGTCCATCTTCTGGGTGAGTTCAACAACCAGGGTTTATGTAGCCGATGGGAGACAGTGGGAATGAGGGAATTGGTTTCATTGTGGCCTCAAGCTGATCTCAGTTGACATTTTTTTACACTCTCAAGATGAAAAACACAGAATAACTTTTGACATGCACACATGTGATCAATAAGTTATACAATCAATTCACTTAAATGTAAGTAGATAATTACAGAGGTTGGACACAATAAAACCTACACAGAAATACAAAACATTATCTCTAGTAAGAACAAACTTTTTTGTTATTACAAAATACCAGTTATGAACCTCATTGACCCAGACAAAAAAAAACAACCTGCTGTAATCTTCTTCACTTCAAGACTTGTCGATCCGCTCGGCATGTGACAATATAATAAATATGAAGGACATGCTGTAGCTCTGAAAGTTATTTCTAAAAACTGAACTAAGAAATGTTTAAAAAGGTATATTGTGTCCAAATAATATTTTATATTGAACGTTTATGGGACGTCATTTGATATGTTTTCACCTCTGTACACAGTGAGCTCAGTGAACATGTGACTGGACAATAATGACATGACTCAGCATGTCCTACAACTGAAGCATATGTTTATGAGTTGTAACTGTATGATTATAGAAGTACTTGAAATTGAATATTTTGTCTATTATTCAATTATTTTTTGGATGATTTTTCTCTTCAGTAATTCAATTCAATTCAATTCAGTTTTATTTGTATGCGCCAATTCATAACAGAAGTTATCTCAGGACACTTTTCAAATAGAGCAGGCTGACGGAACTCCTTTTAACATTTACAGAGACTCACAGTACCACCATGACAAGCACTTGGTGACGGGCAAGGAAAACTGCCTTTTTAACAGGCAGAAACTAGGACAGACCCTTCGGGCTCTAGTGGTGGGGTCATCTGCCTTGACCAGCTTTGGCGGGAAGAGAGAAAGAGAGGAGAGAGAAAAAGAGAGAGAACAGACAGACAGAGAGAAAGAAACAAGAGAGAGACAAACATATGTACAGCAACAACAGTAGCAACAACTACATTAATATATATGATCGATGACGATCATGAAAAAGACGGTGGACGATGACAGCAGCAAGGATGGGGACAGCGAGTAGCGACAACAGTAACAACAGTAAACTGTAGCAATAATAATACTTAATAATAACTAATAATAATAACAATAATATCAGTGATTTTAGCAATGGTAGTCAAGCAGGACCATGGCAGGAGCTCCACCAGGATCCATGAGAACCTGCAAGACGATAAAGCACAAGAACTCCGGAAGAAGTGAAGTTAGTAACATGCATTAAATGGGACATGAATGAGTGCAGAAAGAGAGAGAGAGAAGGAAGAGAGAGCTCAGTGTCATTGGAAAATCCCCCGATAGTCTAGGCCTATAGCAGCATAACTAAGGGATGGTTCAGGACTCACCTGATCCAGCCCTAACTATAAGCTTTATCAAAGAGGAATGTCTTAAGCCTACTCTTAAATGTGGTCTTAAGCCTACTCTTAAATGTGGAGAGGGTGTCTGACTCAGTAGAAGTGCAGTTTCTAGAAAAACCCACAAGGAAAAGCAGAAAGCTTTTTCAGACAAAAAAATAAATAAAAAATACTTGACCTAAGATGTGATCTAGGGCTCTGGGAAGATGTGATAGACATTTTTCAGCAGTCCAGCAACGACATACACACATCTGACTGTATTGCCAGACCCTACTTTTGCTTCTGGAGA